AAAAAATTTGATAGTGATCGGATCATTTGTTTTTAAGTAATCACTGCAGCAAATTCAGAAAAACGCGTTTAAAGATAAAATGATTGTTTTCACTCGTAGCTAATGAGACTCTCTAGCTGCCGTGCGGCTGCTCTTTAAATTGCTATAACTCAAAAACTATTTGAGATATCTGCTTTAAATTTTAATATGTTATTTTTAAAGGTGTAATATGAAAGAAGATCGATTTTTTTTAATTTCACACTAGGTGTGCCCCTTAATTCCGAATTTCGACAGCAAATTGCACCCTAAGTGTCGTTAGTAAATGTCCTGTCACGGCGTATAAGTAACCTTTTTTTAAAGCTTTCAATAGAAAATACAACATTAATTTTGATAAAATATAAGTGTTACGAAAAAATAATAATTTATTATGAGAAAAAATTAAGTGGCTAAGAAAGAACGTAAATTTATGCTGAAAAATTTGAAAAAGATAAAAAAAACAAAATTTAATGTTTAAAATGCCCAATGAAATGGATTTTTTGTTGTTTTATTCCATATTTAGCTCTTAAGTATATCTTTCATGTACATGAAATGCTACCTTAACTTTGAAAATAATTGTGTTGATATAGCCATATCCGTCTGTTTGTCTGTTTGTACGCAAAATTCCCAGTTTTTGAGATACTTCAACCACACTTCGAACACAACAAATGCCACCTTATATTTAAATAATTTGCATTTCTTTTTACCATAAATCCGTCAAAAAATCATCAAAGAGTGTGAAAATTGGTTTTTTGCACTGTAATAATATAAAGTATAGCTCCCATACAAAGATTTCTTCAGATGTAATAATTTATTGGTCAAGTAAAAAGTTCATTCGGTTTTTTTTTATTGATTTTTCAAAGCATTATAACATTGTGTACATTTGTAAGTCAAATATGCGCCGGTTTATTCGAAAATTCGAGATGCCAACTTCATTACACCCCTCTCGTAGAAGGCTATATCCCTATTGGCAAAAAACTCGGCTAGCCAATTTTCCCAGGCTTCTCTTGAGGCCAACTTCTCACCATTAAGCGCGTTCGCCATGGACACTAAAAGAGAGTAATCACTTGATGCCAGGTCCGGACAATAAGGTGGGTGCATTAAGACTTCCCATCGGAGCTCTTGGGGCTTCTGGCGCCTCAAAAAGACGTGCGTGGCCTGGTGTTGTCCTGATGGAACACAATTCGGCCTCTGTTGATCAAAGATGGCCTCTAATGGATGAGTGTTGCCTTCAAGCGGTCCATTTGTTGGCAGTAGAGGGCCGAGTTAAGGGTTTGGGCATAGGGGAGCAGCTCGTTGTAGATGATTCCTTGCCAATCCCACCAAACACACAGCAAAACCTTCCTGGCCGTCAATACGGTCTTGGCCACGGTATGGGTCGCTGCCCCGAGCTTTGACCACAACCGTTTACGATCGATGTTGTCCTAAGTGGCCCACCTTTCATCGCCAGTTAAGATCCGCTGCAGAAACGGGTCGTTTTGTTGCGATTCAGCAGCGATTCGCAGATGTAAATTCGGTCCATCATGTTTTTTGCGTTAGATCGTGTGGCACCCAAACAACGAGCTTCTTTTTGAATCCAAGGTTATGCAAATGGCTCCAAACGGTTTTCTGGTTTATTTTTAGTTCATCAGCAATTAAATAAGTGCTCACGTGATGGTCCGTTTTCACTAGTTCCATGATTTTATCGGAATTTTCGACGACAGGCCTCCCGGCGCGTGGTGTATTTTTGACATCGAAATTACCGGAACAGAACCTAGCAAACCACTTCTGTGCTACACGTTCGTTTACAGTATCGGGCCCATAAACTAAATTAATTTTTTCAACCGCTTTAGCTGCTTTTTCGCCTTGACCGAAGAAAAATTGTAAAATATAGCGAATTTTCTCTTTGCTGGTGTCCATCTTTGACGAACGCTCACAACGTACTGAGTCAATCAATCGAAAAACTGTCAAAGGCAAACTTTTAGCTATAATAGAGACGTTTCCTGTGCCGTATAGTATGACATGATGCGATACGTAACACTAGTACTATGCACAATAACGCCATCTCTTAAGTAAAACCCGAACGATAGAATGGATTTCTTCTATAAAAACTATTATTTAGAACTATCTAGAATTTTTGCAAACTTGTTTGGCTTTTTCCCTAGAGGGGTATAAGAACGAATTGAAGAAGTGAAATCCAATGAACGCTAATTTATTGACATTTTTGTACAAAAGTCAAATGCGCCGAGAATTGCTCTGAAATGTTCATAAGAATGTATTTACAAATTTACAATACAGTAGGAGGCCCAATTATTGTAACTGAAGAGATTAAATAAGACTTAAAAATAATTGAAGTCAGCCGTAGCCTGCAGAGATATGAGTACACTTATCACTTATATTAATGACTAAACAAAAATAAAATAAAATAAAAATATTATATATACAATTTTTTTTTTTTCAAAAACATGCTTAACACTTTGTCGCTGGCTGTAACCACTTCTTTAAATACAAAGTATATACATATATTCGTATGTTAGTTGCATCTGTATCTGCATATTCGCCACACCAGTGCAACCACTTGCAGGTACACCCAGCATACCAGAATTTAGTGAATGACAAAACAAGTAGCGCAACCGCGATGTTGTTGTTCTTGCGTGGTGGCCACCATATTCATGTGTTCTCTTACAATTCGAAAATAATTAACGATCCAAAGATTACAAATGTCAAAAAGAATGTCAACTTGTGCTTTCCTGTTTTTGCTCACTGTCGCCTTGCAATTTGTGCGACGTCACTTAAATGTGCAAGACATTTACTTATGTGTATGTGAGTGTGTTTTGCTTCGGAAAGTAACAAATGTGTATTTGATGAATGAATAGTACCCTACATATTTATGCAGAAATAAATATTTTAAGCTAAAAGTGTTACTACTATAAGCTATTTCCGAAAGAGAGTACACTTGTCTCTTTTTGTAGGTTTTAAAAATTTGAAACTAAACAAAAAACTTACGTGAAATTTTAGTACCTAATATAAGATATTTTCTCGAAATAGGCGCCATCCCTCTCAATCTTCACCACCTGAAGAGAGGAATTGATTTTCTGTTCCTTCACTCGAAGCAGTTTCCCGCTAACGCTTTCGTCCACTCCTTCAACTCCTCCTTTACGTCCTCGTTGCTTGAAAGCCTTTTCCGTCCATATGCAGTTTCAGGTAGATAAAGAGATAGTAATCTGAAGGTGAAGGGGAACGTGTGGAATGTTTTAGAACTTCGCATTTAAACGAGTTCTTGACCGTGTGTGATCTGGCATTGTCGGGTCTGTATGCCTTTGCCCTTGTTCTTAATCGCTCTTCACTCATATTTCACCTCATTATAAACTTCAAACGAAGGATTTTCCTACCAAACGAAATAACGGATGACGCCGCCTACTTCGATTTCAGCGCCAGACTGGATTAACATTGTATTGCAAAGGGAGAAGCTTGACTACACAACCGTGATGCCATCGTGACGAAAATAAGATCCCTCCAGATGAGAATGCCAGATGAGAATGCCTCACTACACTTACTTACTCTGGTTATGCCTTCTACTATATGAGTGCACAATCAAATTCTTTACAGTTGATAAAAAGGCGACCAAATTATTGTAGAAACAAAAATTCGAATCAGGTTCTTCCGAGTTTGTCGCTAATCTATAAAAATATTAAATCCATTTCATCGATTTTCTGTAAATTATCAAAACTAATTGGGTGAAACAGTTTAATGTAGCGCCAACAAAGTCTCCCTTATTTTAAAAAGAAATAAAGCTTTTGAGTAGACAAACCACCGTGTTGTCAAGATGTTTTGCATTATAATGACATTCTTTGGGGGATCTTTGCTTTTAGCGCCATTTAATTGAATACTACGCGACTCTTTACAGAAGTTGTTCATATGAAAATAAACCTTTACTGTATATGTATATGTCTGTGCATACAAACATCTTTTGTGGGAAAGAAATTTTGGATTTGGCTTTTGAAAATTAATATTATATTTATGGCATTAGACATGTCGAAACGTGGCAACAAACTTGTGTGGTATTCCTCTACGTCTATTGAGAGTTCATAAATAATTGTAATTGCGGTCGCCCCTCGGCAGGAAAAGAACTTTTACCATCTGCACACTACTTCTGGATATTGTATAGGGAAGCGGCTGCTCGGGTTCAAATCTTAGTGTCGTACTAACATCCAAAAATCTATAGAAAATTAATTTAAATAAAAAAATAAACTAAATTTTCTAACTGGGGTGGCATCTCGGCACCATTCGAGTGTATTTCTGACATGAAAATCAAAAGATCCTCATAAAAAACCATTAGCCGTGCGGAGGCGGCTTAGTATAAACTGTAGGTTCATCCATTTGTTGGAAAAACATCAAGACGCAAAAAAAAGGCACAAAATTGGAGTAGGAGCTCGATCGGAAATCGTTTAAGCGGTTACAAAGCGCCAATTATATATACAACTATAGAGAAGTCTACTGTTTACCAGATAAGTTTTGTATTTAATATGGTATTTTATATGAATGCAAAATCCCCATAGAAATGGTCAGGTTAAGAAGAACCTCACTTCACTTGGTAGGTCTAATTAGCCCCAATATACGAAGAGAAGAACGACTTGCGTGCTCTTATTGATTAAGCTTCAATATAATAAGGTGAGCGGTTTTTACACCACTCAAGATAAAAATCTTAGGAAGCAAGTTTACGTAAAATAATTGTGTATAAATAGAATTATTCCGATGGCATAAACTACTATTGGCTAGAATAAATTATTGTTTTAGTCCTTGTTGATCGATTAGCCCCACACAACCATTCGTTGGTCTAAGCAATCAAGTTGACCTTACCTAACTCTCTTTGGCGAATATAATTTATCTGCTTATAAATTTTTGAATATTGTATTTGTGTGCCAGGAAGTCAGCCCAAAAGCTTAATAAAATCAGTTATGAGAAAAGGCAATGTCAAGTGAGCGTTTTATATAATATATTTGTATTTTAACACAGTTCTTACTATTATAATAAAATATATTTATAAACATATAAAAAATATAAAAATATATTTTATTACGCTGTTCAAGGCTCTTGCATCGGTGGCGGTGCACCATTCGGCTGCACTATCGGCGTGGCAGGTGCTTTTGTGGTGCTGCTAGCAGCTGTAACTATATAACAGAAAAATAATATATGTACATATGTATGTAAATATTTAACTAATTACTTTTAATTATTAATAAAATTTCACTTAAATGGTGTAGAGGGCTTTTTTACTATTTCGTTGTCTAATAACAATGAAACCTCGTATTCATACTATTTTTGGATCACTGAACACGTTACCATCCTAAAGAGCCTAGGGTCTCTCATATATATTCGGCGTACATAAAAGTGCTTCCTCGTGTAACTTCAAAACGTTCAAAACCTTAAACTTCCATACTAACCTTCTTCACTTCTCATTGTTGGTAGATATGTAGGGGCCACAGTTGTTTGTATTGGTGGTCTATCGTGACTAATGAGAATAGTGCAATTTCGACAAATCACTGCATGAGAAATACAAGTCAACAATATATATATTGTACAATAATAATTATAATGTAAATAAAATATGTCTAATAAAATAATATTCACAGTATTTTTCATCTTCTTCAGACTCATCTTCATCACTGTAATCCAGATAGTCGAAAAGGCCAAATAAAATTTGATCCAATAAACTCCTTTTCTGTAAAATAAAAATATCATTGATTTATTGGAGATATAAATTAATTCGGTTCGTTCTTATAACTGACTCCACCTGCAATTTGTGGCCGATCTTAGAAGCGATTACCTGGTTTACTGGAAAGGTTTTACATAGTATCTCAATAATAATTAGGGATTGTGAGAGTCTGTTTTTTACAACAACATTGCTTTTTATCTCTTCGAAAATGTGCGGATTTGTGTTAAATAAATAGAATTTGTGGAAAGTTTTGATTTCCTGCTTAAATTAGAAGAAAAGCGCAGTTAAAGTCCATCGAATGCTTTTAGAACTTTATGGTGAATCTGCGCCGACCTATAAGTCATGCCGAGGTCTATTTCGACACTTTAAAAGTGGGGATTTTAGCGTCGAAACAAAGTGTGATTAAATCAAAAACTTTGAAGATGAAGAATATGAAGCTTTACTCGATCAAGATCCGTGCCTTAGTACACTAAACTCGCAGCCCATTTGGAAGTAACTCAGGCAACAAGTTCCGTTCGGTTAAGGCCATTTAGACTTAATAAAAAGCAAGAAAATTGGGTGTCGAGGGAAGTGAAAAGGTGATTTCCACCTCGGAACTGCTTCTTGAAAGACATCAAAGCAATTGAGTTTTGCACCGTATCTCGGGTGTTGGTGAAAAATTGGATGTACTGCGATAATTCCATAAAAATTCTATACCAAATCTGGTGAACTCGTTCCAAAAAAAAGACAAGCCAAAAAACAAACCGATCATGCTCCGCATATGTACTATGAGCTGCTAAAACTAATCGAAACCATTAACGTGGAACGTTATCGGCTACAACTAATACCTTTGAGCCGTAATTAGCTTGAGAAAAGGCAAGAAAAAGCCGAAAGGCAATATGACAACGCTCGAGCGTGGCTGTAACCGTAGAAACTACCTGGAAAAGCTGAAATATGTGGTCTCACATCACCTGCCGTATTCTCCAAATATTTCTTCTACCACCGACTACTCGTGACTTGGATGGACACCCGTTAGAGTAGTTTGAAGCAATCGAAGAAGGGTTCTTTTCTCAGAGTTTTTATTCGAAAATTAGCACTGAAATGGGAAAAAGTAGTCGCTTCCGACTCTCAACACTTCAAATGATGTATTTTTTTTTTACTTTTTAATAAAAAATGCTTTTTTGAACACAAAAAACTGACCGAGCTAATTTTTACAGCGATTATTTTAAGAACTAAAATTATTTAATAAATGAAAATCATCAAATAGTCCCTGCAGGGAAGAATATTAATTTTTAACTAGAATTCAACTAGTTTACATTTTTACATTAACTAGCTCATCTTCATCCATTTTCCATGTAAACAACTGGTATTTTTGACATAGCGATGTCCTACGAGCTGACAATTTTACTATTATGCATCAGCTTCAAACTAATTTAATACTAGTTTATTTCGCAATGTTGAATTTTTATTTCACAAAAAAAAGAACTAAATCAAATAAAATTCATTTCGCCGGCTGAGAAGATCTCTAACCACCACACTTTCGTTATGATACTCGTATATGAAGTAACGAAATCTCCGCACTTCAACAGAAGTTTTTAGGAAATGAAACTCAGCCGTGTCAAACTAAAAACAAAAACAACATACGAATGACGTGGTAGTAAAAATTTCTGTTTCACCAGAAATGAAAAAAAATAAAAACTAAACATCAATTCGCCTCTAGCGGGGCTCGAGCCGCTACAGCGTTCATTGCTATCATTACAATGCAACGATCAATGACATTTTGCGCACTTCAATAGAACAGAGCAGAGAATGGAATTCAACCTGGAAGTTTGCCGATATAACAACAACAAACAGTGGTGGAAATTGTTATTTCTCCTGGTGAACTATTATACAAATCACGAACTGGTATGATTTTATCTTCAACATACTAGTATTAAACTAGAATTTTTGCATACTATTGTAGTTGGCTTTCTCCTGCAGGGGCGTAAACTTTAGGTCCTCCATTTGTTGGAAAAACATCTAGACGCAAAACCACAAATTGGAGGTGGACTTCGCCATAATAATTGTATTAATAAATATAAATACAATTTCTAAATTCACATATCTTTTTCTTCAAACGCTTACCATTCTTTGCGTGCTTACATCGCCGTTCGCCGCTCTTGTCGAAAATGGCACAATTCCCTTCTCATGTTCTTTATTTGGCTTCACCACGACGTGCTGCTCACTGCCGCCAATCAAGCCACTCACGCATATTAACAATAGCAATATCATTTTCGAAAACTCAAACATTATGCGCACAATTTTCACTTTCAGTCCACACTTAACAACTGTATGTATTGCAATGAATTTAAGACGTCTAAGCCGAGAATGTGACACTTGGGCATCCGGACGCAACAACGACGAAGCTTATATAGCAAATTAAGATAACAAAATCTATAAAATAGTTATTTTTTTTATTTATTTCTTTTTATTTTTTTGAAAACATTAACGCTTTTTCGCTTTTCATTATTAGTTTAGCGAAAATTTTGTACTAAATTTCTAGGAGTTTGCTTGGAAAATACTATTATTATTTTTTTTTATTACCATAACGTGATAATTGATGTCGACAATTGTAAATGTGTGTGTGTGTATGTGTGTGACATTTGTGTATTTGTGCGTATGTAGATCATTTCATATGCAACTGCAACTGTATGTTGCAATGCAAATCGCAAACAATGCTCACTATCCATAATTGTTGTTATACATACATGCATACATACGTATACTTATGAAGAGTTTATTTACGTACATACATATTTGTTGAGCATAACACTTAAAATAGCTTACTTTTAAGTAAATTCTATCAGAAGTAAACCGAGTTGAGCATTTGTATTGTTGCTTTAAAGTGTCGTCGAAATACTATAAAACAAGTGCGTTGGGGAACACCCGGTGTAGTCTATTTATGCAGCTGCACGCCCGAAGTAGAATAGGCACAGTGGTACTAATTAACTGAAAAGTAAATGAAAACTCTGTACAAGTGCTGATAATAATGAAGAAACAAAAAACTCTAGCCCTCGCGAAAGCAGTGGGTACCACTGTGGGGAGGATCCTAAATTATGGAAACTCTGAACAAGTTGAGGATCAGGAATTGCATGCAGTCGCACATCGGCAGAGAATGTCAATCTCCATGAGTGTATTCCTTGACTTGAACCAAAAGCTATTGTTCAATCGCACAATCTTAGAGCTCATGCCACAGCTCCACGACGAGGGATAATGCGTTACCAAAAGTTTTTGTTTCAATAATTAATAATTTTCGTTGGCCGTGCGGCAAGTAGTGCCGACTTGTTGGAACCAAAGTTCGTACACATCATCACCTTCGAATTAAGGAACGAAAAGGAGTGCTATAGCGTTCCTTATTGATTTTAGCATTATGACCGCCTACGATTTTGAAGAAATATGGACCAATGATATCCACTGTACACCAAACAGTGAATTTTTCAAGATGTAATGGCGTCTCAGCTATAGCTTGTGATCACTCAACCCTTGAGTTGAGTTGAGGGATATCGCTATATGGCTTCCATCTTCACCTTCTCAAATGTTTCGAATTTCGTATGTCTTATGAAGGCAACATGGAACTTGTGTCGCGCAGATGTATAGACTAGATAGTGATAGAGGTAGTGGTCAGTAAAAGCACATATTGAGGGTGGCAGGTGGAAATTCATTCAAGGTAATTGCGTGTCAGCTCGTTTGTAATTTGCCGTACAGGTCCATAGGCAGGAAGTTAAAAAGAGTTAGAAGTGCATTTGAGGGAGTTGACAACAACAGTCCTATTACGATGTTTAGTTACTCTTGAAAGTAAATAAATTGTCTGGGGCTCCGGCCATCATACGGTAACATCGTAGAGTAGGATTGTTCTAGCTACTGTTAAACGGATTCATTAAAAAATATTCATCGTGGGATCCCATCTTTTTCCTACTGCCTATAGTCTTTTTCGACCGGCTCCAGTTGAGTTTGCTATGGAATAGTTGGTTTAATCGTAGGCCGTTTGTACCTCCTGCTAAATAAAACCATTTCGGCCCAGCCTTCTACTATATTATACTAGTGCAGTTAAGAGAAGATCGCTTAAAGTTTAAGGTTTATATCGGAGTATTTTCTGTGAGACACCACACTAATGGAGATAAAACTCCTCCGCAAGAGGTAAAAAAAAACATCTAGAAAAATATACTTTTTATAATTTTGGATTTTGGTCCGGCCAAGACTCGAATCCTTACCTTACACATTGTAGTACGGGCTATTAATCACTCGTCTACATATTTCGGTCGATTCGAGACAAATACCTAAGGAATAATAGAAAATAAATAAAACTCATACTTAGTTATTCGAAAAGCCTTTCTTCTATGTAATTATGAAGAAGAAAAAATAAAAGAGATCAGAAATAAATAAATTTCTTGTGGAGTTAAATTATCAGCTTTTAACAGAAAGTCTGAGTGATTAATGTTACTCAAGCCAATATTATTTTCGGAAGCAATAGAAGAGTAGTTAGCATTGCGTACTACAATTATAAGGTTCAGAGCTCGAGTCCTGATTCGACCAACATCCAAAATTATTGAATACATATTTTTTTCGCCTGGAAATGTCAAGCCCTCCAAGTGTACTTTTGGCATGAACTAAAAGCTCCTCATAAAAATCCATCGGTCGTTCGAAAGTGGCTTAGAGTAAAATGTGGGTCCCTTCATTTGTTAGAAAAACATTCAGACGCATGCCACAAATTGGAGGAGGAGCCGAGAATCGCCGAAAGTCGCTTTGGCAGTTTTCATTGTGATGTAGGTACTTTCATTCGAAAAAATATAAAAAATTTTTATTATTATCTTTTTTTTTTAATTTTGAAATTACACATTTTGCTTATACTTATCCACAAACGTTTAAGCATTAGCAAACCATTTGCGCAAATAGACGGTCGATAATCCAGTAAATTGTAGCACATGCATTGGTTATTTTCACATTAGTCACGGTTCATAGCGCACTATTGTGGTCATTACAATTTCAATGCACACATACTCGTACAGTAGCATAAGCACAAAGTGCATAAATATTCAAATACAATTGTTCGACGATCGTAAATATTACAATCAACAGCATCCAGTATTCAGCATTCGTCATTGAAGCAGTGGCGAATGTAAATACTCATATGTATATATGCTATATCTACTACATATAGCTTTGTTAATATCATACTTACCATATACGAATATATGTATGTATGTATGTTTGACTACTTTAAATTTGCTGCAGCTTTTGCTTGTTTTTTTTTTTTCTTGTCTTCGATTCTTGTAACTTGAGCTCCTTGCAGCGTATTACAACTTTAATTGTTTGCCAGCTTACTTTCAATTTGAGCAGCATTGTACTTTGTGCCTTTCAACTACTTACATGCATTTGTACATATTTATATACTCATTGTGCTCAACAAGTGTGCGTCTGATCGTAGAGATCTTACTTTTCCTGGGAATCGCTTTTGCTCGCGTCACATACGTGTAAGTTACAATTACAACTAATTACATTTGCGACTAAATACAACTACAACATATTGCAGTAGAAGACACAATGTACATGTATATATGTATGAGTGTGTAGGAGTATTACTTTGGAAAAGCTTTAAAATATACGCTTTATAGTCATTAATTTCTTCTACCAACCGCCGTGGATTAGCTGGTGCGTGGAGGATGGTTGGGGCTGCCGTAGGCCTCATAAGCTGTATGAGTATATTAGTATATTACTTACTATATATGTATAATTTTGTACTTCCAACTCTATTTGCCACTAGTCTGGCACACTTATTACGAAACAACGGCAACTATAAGTTCTCACATGTACTTACATACATACATATATGTATAGGCATGTATAAATGACTATTTAAGTTGACAACTAATCGAAACTAATTATCCAGTCATTAACAAACGTATTTTTCTTTTTCTCGGATTGTCACATTAATTATCGCGTTTGAAATGATTAATACTTTTCCGTTGCAAAAACTAAACTCTAAAAAATTGTCATTGTTTTAATTAGTCAGTGCTCCCACTAATCAGTTCAAAATTTGTGGAGAATATTACGGTATCGCAATTACATATATCCAAGAACTTCGTAGCATATTTAAAGCAATTATCTGATACTATACATAATTAAAATCTTCTTTAACATAAAAGAAAAAAAAAGTTATTTTTATATTGATCCTTATAATTAATTATTAGTAGAAAAAAAGAAGAATACGGAATTTTTACTTCAAACTTAGAATTTATTTATCTTCTTATTTGAAATATTATATTTAGATACATGTAGTTTTTTGTCGAATATTTCTGCTGTGGAGCAGAGTACCGAAGAAGACCCGAATGAGTTCATCCGACCGAGGGCGCAACAATTGGTGCTGTATCCACTTCCACTTTATGAAATATTTGGAGGAAGGATTTTGATTTGCGAGCTTACAAAATCCAACTCAGGCACGAATTGCAGCAGAACGGCCAATAAGATGACAACCCATCCCGATTATCTTCAACAATTCATTTTGCTAACGTCAATGGGGAACGCTATGGAGGCATGATTAATGACTTTTTCGCACCCGAATTGAAGGTTGTTGATGTAGACGTACCGTACCGTACGGCTAACAAAATAATCAACTTATTGAAAGAGACTCTTGTTAGCGAATTTTCCTGCGCCATGTGCCTGTAGCGTGGCCTTGAAGATAGTGCGATTTAATATTGCTGGACTACTTTTTTTGTGGTTACCGGAAGTCGCTTGTCTACGTAGATAATTCCGATACTGACGCCTTGGAAGAGAATATTCAAAATATAGAATATTCAAAAAGTGGTTAAAAATTGTGACTGGAATGTCTTTAAACCAACCACGGCGGTCCCTTGAATAGAAATATAGCGAAAAAAATTTGGTTTAAGAAAAGCAACATGGATCAGAGTTGGGCCTCTGTGATACCAAGATGTTAATCCAATAATCAAAGAAACCGATATAAAGTTGTGGGATCATATTCTTACTGCTTCTGCAACCTGAAAGATCTAGCTTGTCAAGATTCCTACTAAAGGTTTTTCCAATAAAAGGTATTATTTTGAATGGTCTGCTATTCCGATAGATGCCACCCTGGAATCTGCAAGTTTTTGAAATTTGGCAAGTAAAAACTTCGCCTGTTATAAAAATGGAACGATCGATGCATCAACAACGAATTGAGAAATTATTAAAATTTGCCATAAAAGTTTCTGCAAAAAATCATCTTGACTGATTAGGCCCATTTCCACCTCGTTGGCTACGTCATTAAGCAAAACTGTCGCATATGGTGCTCTGAAATCCCAAGATTTATTCTTGAAAAGCCTCTCCATCTTCGACTTGTGACTGGTTGGTACGGTCTACGATCCGGCGGAATCATTGGACCTTACTTTTTCGAAAATGAATGGATTGCGCTATCGAGAGGTGTTTAATGATTTTTTTATGGGCGGAATTGGATGGTATTAATCTGGGGAACTAATGTTCACTTTCAACTACAAGGCGCTACGTGCTACATAAGCAACAAAACTCTTACAATATATACAATATGTCTTATCGTTTCAACCAATTTTGTTTATTTTACTGTATTTCACAGCAGCCTGTTAATTCTTTTAGTAGCCTTTTTATTAGCTGACAGTTCAGCAGAGAATATGAATTGGTGGTACGCACGCCAAACGCCTTAGTTTCTGCCACTCTGACGCTAAAAGAAATCAAATTTATCCATTCCACTGAATTTTTGAAAGATAGATCAATAGGTGCTTTGCTTGAGATTGATCCGTATATATATCTGAATACTGTAGTAGGTTATTTGAGCTGAAAGTTTGTGAAAACTTATCTCGGCAAGCTAATTCCTACTCCCTCTCAGTGAGACATGAGTTAAACGTAAGATTCTAGAACATGCGATATAATAGCGCCTTGGCAACGACGAATACCGAATGCAATGGAACGATGAACTACGAAAGAGATAGCAGCTGAATGTGAGCACAAACAGTATGACAGTTTCCACACTAAAGTAGAAGAAGAAAATCTTTCCGCTGACTTCAGAGCAAGTGATGATAAGCTTGTGGGTGGCTTTGGAAGTAAAGACTTTTGACATTTGATCCCATATGATTGGAATATAATTTTATTTTGAACTAGCTTTATGAGTCAGCAAATATAGTAGATAATTCTAAGCTTATTTTAAGGTTTAAGAACTTACTTTTATGGACTATCACTGCAAAAGCAGACGCAATAGCCCAGTGGTTAGCAGCGCGTACCACTATACGGCAGTGCAGAGCTTGCGTCCTGGTCCGACAAACATCCAAAATGTTAGAAAATTTATGTTTTCCATTGCGTCTTCCCCTAGGCAGGCGATTGCAAGCAAAAGGCTGGTTTTGACATAAAAAATAGTCCAGCAGTATTAAATCGCACTATCTTTAAGGCCACGCCACAGGCGCATGACGCGGGAAAACAAACTGCACAGAAGCTAGGGTACGGAGAGTCAGGTCGACTTCTCTGCGATTTTGTTGTATTATGTGAAGCTGCTGTTTCAGGCATCAAAGAGATCGCAAGAATATTCATCAGTTTCAATTAGTTTTTATTTTTTAAGATATTACGGCTCTCATACGAGATTATCCAATTGTACGAAAACGATCGGTTTTGGGAAAATATATAGCAAACCTCGTAAAAGAAAGCATTATAAATGTTTTCTGCTGAAAATTGCATTGCGAAAAATTCAGTGTTGTAAGTTTTACTAAATAAAAGAAAAAAATTCTAATGGAAGTAAAAAAAATCTGAACATCTGTTCGCTGGCAACATGTTTCTAAAGTATGTAATAACTCGTATGAATGTTTGTGCGCTCACAAATAGTCCCAGTGGGTTGCAGTGGCTAACAACACTCGCCTATGCAAACGAACATGCTCCACAAAAGCAGCGCGTGCCTCCATGGCAAAGCCAATCTATTATCGGCCAATTTACACACATCCGCAATTCTCGGAACTAAGACGCTAGAAAAAAAGCTGAAAACTGCCGCCTGCATTTCCAACAGAAGTCGAACTAATTATCCCGCAACTGCAAAACGATGCAAATAACCATTATACCTACATGCATACATATACTTACGAACATACATATATGAATGTATTTCTAATGAACACCAATATGGAGCGAGCAAAACGAGAGAAGAATAAAAAAATAACTAAATAAAAAATATTAAATAATGTACAACTACACCACACACTCAATCACTCACTTTTACTACTTCCTGATATTTTACATATTTACATCATTTTTAAATATCATACTTTTGTTTTTGCGTATGTATGTATGTATGTAATGCCAGCATTGTTGCAAACATACTAATCGTCGCATTTTTCATTATTTCTTTGTTCTTTCTGTTCTTTGCAGAAAATCAGTGCCCGCAATACGGCGAAGTGAATCAACTTGGTGGCGTATTTGTGAATGGACGTCCACTGCCGAATGCCACGCGCATGCGCATTGTTGAGTTAGCGCGACTCGGTATTCGCCCATGCGATATATCCCGCCAGCTACGTGTTAGTCACGGCTGTGTTTCCAAGATACTTGCGCGCTACCACGAAACCGGCTCGATTCTACCAGGCGCTATAGGTGGCTCAAAACCCCGTGTGACTACGCCGAAAGTCGTTAACTATATACGTGAGCTGAAGCAGCGCGATCCAGGCATTTTCGCTTGGGAAATACGCGATCGCCTGCTCACCGAAGGAATCTGTGATAAGACAAATGTGCCGAGCGTCAGCTCAATTTCGCGTATACTCCGCAATAAACTCGGCACTATTGGACATCATCATCATCATCATAGCTCTGCCGTGGTGGCGGCAAATGGCACAAACTCCTCGCCACACCATCATTCACATACTCACACACACACGCATGCACATCATCATCATGCGCCGACGCATAATACAGGTGCCTCAGCGGTAGCTACAGCAGCACATCATCAACATGCCGCCGCTGCTGCTGCGGTGCATGCACATCCTCATCTGTATAATTCCATTTATCAGCCATATAGTGCGTATAGTATGAAAAGCGCTGTGTCGTGTGGTAGCCCTTCACCACCACAACCGCCACAAAGCACACACCAATTGCGTACGGCGGCCGCCGCGGCAGCTGCAGCACATTGTTGGCCTTCATCACATTCGGTGAGTGATATTTTGGCGCATCATCAAGCGGTCGCGTTACGCGCCAGCTGTCAGGTTAGCAACACAATGGGCGGCTTGCCGTCAGGATTGCCAATGGCACCGTCACCGATTGGCGCCGCTGTGGGCGCGGGCGCGCAACAGCTTATCGGCGCTGAGGATTGTGATGGTATGGCTAATAGCGCGGCGGCAGCCACACAAGTGGCCGTAGCGGCGGCAGCGGCGTCGCAACAGCCCTACAACTATTACATGTACTTCCAGAATACTGGCATGCATCACCATCATCATGGCGGCATGATGGCGGCCGGTGCGACGGGTTTATGAGATTTTAATTAATGTTGTTAGTAAACTAAGTTATGTAAAGAAAATTTCACTCGTATGGAAAATTCAATAATTTATATAATATAAATATAAATTAGCAGAGATTAAGATATGGATGATCAATGAGTTTTACTTTATTATAACTTTTAAGTAAACAATTAAATACTTTTTTACATGCTTATCCAGTGGAAGTAGATTTAAATTATAATTATTTGTTATTTATAAGTTTATGGGTGATATGCCAATCATATTTTAGTTAGGAACAAACTAAATTAATAAAAATAAATTTATTGAAAATTGTAAGCACAATACGAAACTACAGAAATGGTATAGATATGTATGTGTACTGACTTTGAAATACAGATTCAGTCCTATCTATGAATAGTTCATAAACTTTCAAACCTACAAAAGAACTATGTGTGGATTAACGAATTACTCGGGAAGCAGCGAATTGAGTTGATATCATCGGATTGGCTTAAGCTCGCTAAAACAGCAGTTGGAGAGTGAAGGCGAGAGCTTTAGTAAACGGTGTAGTAAACTAAATATTAATAGGATTTATTCCATAATTTTCCACTCCATTATTTGTAATAATTTTTTTTTACTTTTTTTTGACTATTACAGAGTTGTTTTTTTCTTTTTTTTTGCAAAGTAATTGGGAGTAATACAGCTGCATCGATAGGTAGACGTGCTGTCTGCGAGACTCCAGCCTCGGGCCCGATGGGCACTAACCGCTGACTGTTCTGCATGAACAAACTGAAAGAGGCCTAAAGTCTCTATATGATCTTAAAGGGATGAAATAATTAAGCTTGCTAAGTAGGAATCACCTTTTGATAACACGACTGAGTCTGTGAGATAAAAAAATTAATTCCTTATTCCGTTCCAATTTGCAGCTGCGGTAGTTGCTGTAATAGATCCGATAGATTTTAGGTGCTTGTTCTCCAAAGGGCCAATTGTTCGTTATTTTAGCTGTTAATCCTTGTCCTGTCATACTTGAATCAAATCTGTTTCGCTTTCTTACTGGTGGGCGTGCATTTCTATCTTTCCTAAGCTATTTGTTCAAATGCTCTCTCTCTCTATCACTTCTTGCCGGCATGGTATTATTCATAACTACACTTCAAATTCATCAAAAGTAGTTTCCCACCTGGCATTCAGCAATACTGCCCGTTTGTCGGTGTGTATGATTGATTTCTGTATGCTTCAACAGTACCTTAAACGGACCTCTAATCCCTTCCTTTACCTTCACCAGCGAATGTTGCATCGAATGCTTTCAGCGCTGCAGTATTTCCATCTTTGAATCGTTATTTAAATTTTGCAATAATAAAATTGTAATCTTTATAATTTTACTTCGATAAGGAAACTCTAATTTCCACAAATTTCTGCAAATGCAGCTATCACTCCACCACAATTGTAGTTAGGCATCATAAGTTACGAACTCATCGAAAAAGAAGAGGAAGAGCGAACAATAAATAATTGAAATACATATACATAAAGAAAGTAGTAATTTTAACATAAAATAGAATCAATAGTAGCGAGATGAGAAGAAGAAAAATGCAGGCGGCAATTCTGTGGTAAGAGTTGAAAGGAGAAATTGCGAGACAGGTGTGCTCCTTCTCAGATGAGCCACAAAAAATTATACAAAAATTAGCTTAAATGAGAAAAAAATTCTTCTACAAATGATTTACTTATTCAGATGAAAAAAAGAAGAAATAATTAAACGTAATAAGGACGCTGTCAACTATGACGGAGATACTTTACATTAAAAGCATTAGCACCATCTTTCAAAAGTTCTTCACTTCTTCCTTGGGCAGCTTTGGAAATATCTTCTTTACATTCCTTTGTAATGGCCAATTTTTCATCTTGATTTTGTATTGTATCAAAATTTTAATTAACAGTCAAAATCTAAAAAAAAAAATTTCGTTCCGACACGAAATGCAGAATAGTGCTTTATGTGACGGTGTTTGAGCTAATCACATCCTTTCTGAGCCATATTCACATACCTTTCATGTATGTGAAATAGTACATTATCTTTGGTCCGAAGTATGATAGACCTATTAAGCTGTATACCGATCATGGCCGCTGTCATCTGTTTGTACGCAAACTAGTCTCTCAGTTTTTGAGATATTCCGTTTGCCGGAAGCGTCCTGATCAAATCACCATAGCCTGTATTTGGAACAATCGAAATATGAGATTTTGAGTCTTAATAATAGTATCAAATACATTCGTGTCTACAAGTAAATATTGCCACCTTAAGTCGTCGAAATTGAATAAATTCATCAGAAAGTCCCCATACAACCGATTTTTTCAAATGTGAGTTTTTATGCGATTTCAAAAACATCCAGATACCATGTTTCGTAAAATATTATAATGTTTTTAAAATTTTGACAGCCGTATTGTATCCACCATTTTGAATTTTGTCAAATCTGGCAAAAAATGAATATGATAACCCTAAAATCACCTAGATACCCATTTCTATAAATTAATAATAATTTTTCAAAGAGATCATGTCACTTTTCATTTTTTTTATTTTATTTCTTCGTTTCGAAAATTCAAACAAGCAGATCTATACCAACATTCGTATGTACAATATATAAAAATAATTAAACTTATTATATGTTTCTGCTTGTCCGTATGTACATATAGATATGTATATGCTTATATATAATGTTATTAAGTATACTCATATAAATAAATATCTATAGATATTTTTTTATTTTCTTAAAATAATATATTTATTTGAAATTTGTCGTAAGAAATTACGCAATAATATGTCGATTACCTAATCTTGCTTTCAAAAATTATCCATTTGATATAAAACAAATATGTAGTTTCAAAAATACCCTGTGCCTTATATCAAATTTATTAGTTATGATTTTAGCCTGGCAGAGGATCAGTGAAATATTATATAATATGTAAAATTTAGTAGTAATGTAAGTGGCAAGCAATAAAAAATTCTTAATAACCATAAACGCAGTTTTTTTTTAAATTTAGATATAACGAAATGTGAGTTGCTTTGTATAATAGTTGAAGTAGGAGAATCTAGTCGTAGTAATCTTTCAGCGCTGTATAATTAATTAACTGATGAAATAAGAGTTTCTTCGGTAGATTAATGACTTGCTCACTCAGCCAAGTAAATATATATATCTGAATGTTTTATTAAAATTCCTTCTAATGAAGCAATAAAAGTACATTTGATCTCATGTCATTTGTACCGATACCTACTAGTTGTATTATTTATTGAGCGCCTAAAAGTAGGCTTCAAAGCAAGATTTCTCGCCCCGCGTTGAGAAACTGCATACATATTTACGTGCGTGCGCTAATGAGAAGTTGATAAGAAATATAATTACACATTTTCTTTCACTTCATCAACTTAATCATGCTTATTTCTCTCACTTTTCAATTAATGAGAGTGTAAAATTGATAAATTACTTCTAATTTGTATCTAACCAATCATAGTTAAAATTCGCTGACGTTGTGTTATCAGTAGATTTATTGTAAATTTCCTATTGGAGGCAGACAGCGATGAAATGCTACTGTTTTTAAATACCTGTAGTTGAAGAGCTAAGATTTATCGCTATAAACGCAAATGGGAAAATTTCCAAATAAAAAAAAAAACCTTGGTAAAAATATTAAAATATCGTCATTTAAATTTAATTTATACTTTACACTAATACATAGTTACAAGCCCTAAACTTAAATTAAAAACTCTTATAAATATTTATGTACAGCAAATATTGCCTTTCCTCACACTACAAGTAACCAATAATAAATATAAAAACACAGTTAGTATTTCATGCAAACAATTTATATAACAGTATACATACTTAAGAACCAACAACATTTATATAAAACAACATTTATTTCCACTGAATTTAATTGCTCGATATTTAGTTACTTTAAAACCTCAATTGCAACATTCCGTGCCATTGACACCTTCATGCCGTATCCAACCGAAACAAAAGTAACCGAAACCTAAACCCAATATCATGGACAAGCACAACCAATAGTTAAAGTTCATAAAAACCAACATCAACAAGTAGGATATGATTATTTGCACAACATTGAGTAGCGATTGTATAATGTGATCCGATGAAAAGAGGTGTTCACCATAAGTTTTGCCTTTAATCTCCGGCAAAGGGGATGGCGCTTGCGGACATCCAGGTGGGTGAGCGGCACGTCTTGCTTCCACTTCCATTGACATACGTTCAGCTGATTTTTGTGCTGAGCGCTTATGTAATTGCTGACGCAGAAATTTCAATGCTTCATAAAGAAAAGCAATGAAAAACCAGACGAGACAAGAGAAGCCAAACTCTACAACTGTGCTGGCCACCCAACTCCTCCACAATATCCGTTCACAATGGCCTCCGTGGAACTGAAACGATAGTAATAAGGATGCATTTAATGCAAAATAAATTAATTAAATAAAAAATATATTCAAATTAAGAAATCCATTAACGTAAATCATACACTTAAGATATATGTACATATATATATGCATACATATATATATATAATTGATTTATTTGAATCATTTTGAGAGCTTTAGTATTCAAGATTAAGATATTATTCGAATATTTTCAAGTAGCTCGTGTATTTGAGCAACGAGTACTCGCACACTCGTTCATTTCTGATTGCTAGAAAATTTTCGGGCACGAGCTACAACAATTCGAGCTCTTTCAAGCATTTTGAGGAAACATTTTGACTTTTTTCGGTCGACAACGCTGTTTTTTGCCTCTTCGAAAATGGTCGGATTTGTGTTAAACAAACAACATTCGCGAAAAGTTTCGATTTTCGTTTATAATCCGAAGAAACCGTAGATGAAGGTCATCGAATGGTTGTGGAAGTTTATGGTGAATCTGGTTGCGACGCTTCAAAAGGGGTGATTTTAGTGTCGAAAGCAAGGAATGTTCTGGTAGTACCACTCGGGTGTGGTGTACTAAGGGCTGCTGGTGTACTAAGAGCCGGCGAAACCATTGATACGAAACGTTCTCGATAACAATTGAGCCAGGGATCGCGTAAAAATCGGTCCAAAATCAGCCAAAAATCAGCCATAAACGGCCAAAACGCTCGGCCTCACGAGGCTGTAACGGCCAGCAAAAAAAAAAACGTGGAAATGCTGAAATGGTAGGTCTTACACCATTCGCAGTACTCTCCATACCTGGCCCCTTTTGACTACTACCTTTTTTGACGGATACAAAACGATTTGGGGGGAGTCATCATCAGTTCGGGTCTTTCAATCGAGAACAGAGAGGACTCGTTTTTTTTAAATAGTCTTAAAAATTACCAGAGATATGGAAAAAAAGTAGTCACTGACGGACAATACTTTGAATGATGTATTTTTCACGTTATTTTTTCCAGGAAAAACACTTTTTTGAACACAAAAAACCGGTCCCAATTCACTTTAACTCCCAATACTTTTATAAATTTTTCATAAACGTTATTCTGCAGCAGCGCTACCTCTTTATAAATACAAAAATTATTAGTTTGATTTTCCTCATTTGAAGGTCAAAATCTTCTAAAATAAATTCATTTCGTTTGGCCCAGTTAAAAATAAAGAATTATGCAATTAGTAATATTGTTATTTTAGCACTGGTTAGCGGTATTATATCAATACATACAAAACACAAGAAAAGCTAATCGTATATTTCTGTTATATACATATATACATTTGTACGAGGTGTGCTTAAAAAATAAGCTGAATTTTGAAATTTTCCGGGCAACTAATGTATGTTGTAATTTCTTATATTTTTATTGTAACACTAGACTAGTATTAGTTCTCTTGTGAGGGGTATATGTAAAATTTAGAAGTTCTTTGAATAAAGTGTGATTTGCGCTGTTCAAATAGTCAAAGAATTTGTACTTTCGGTGTTAAAAGATGTTCACTCCTCATAGCTTGTACTTTTTTTTTTGGCCAAAACCAATGTCTCAGCCACCTTAGTCACCTAATTTGGCGCACTTTGAAGTCTGAAACGACCGAGAACGGCAATTGAGGAGGTAAAATACGAAATACTGAATGAGCCCAAGGGCATCATACCGAAAGAACGAGCTGTAGATTTGCAAAATTGCTGGCAGTAACGTATTATATCTGAGGGAAACCAAAAATAAAGGGGACAAAACATATATGGAAAGCAAGAGTGTTTTGTGAGAAAAAGTAAAATTCAGCATATTTTTGAACACACCTCGTATTTAGTGTGTTTTCTACAATAGATAATGGCCTAGAACCACAAAAGGCACTTGCGCATATTTTTCACATACATACATACATATGTACATAAATAAGTAGGAGTATCAGCAGAAGTATATTTTCGCAAAACAAAAGTAAAATAACTAAAAACAAATGCGAAACATTTATGCAAATAACTAAGCAGGCGTGCAAAGGCATAGATAAAAAGGTAAAATATATATTTTTGAAGTGTACAAAAGAATTTATTTTTCAATTAGTAGTCAAAACGGAAATTGTTGGGAATTTCAAAATTTATTTACACATACATAAATAACACGAAATATTTAACTTTGTTGATAAGGTATAATTAGTAAATTTGTTAAAACTGTTTAATTAAGTAGGTTCAGTTAGCACAAAAAGCAGATCACCTAAATTTTTACCCAGCACATGTGGTAAGAGCTACTTTTAAAACTTAAAAAATAAATGTAATTGTAATAACTTTTTGGCTCCAGCTTCAATAAGAGTTAAAACAATAGCATATAGATACAGATATAAACTGCAAACATATTAAGGGGGTAGATACAAATAGAAGGTAGAAGGTCAAAAAAATATATATTTCATGTTATAATATATTTTTTTGTTCCTCTAAAAAATTAGGAATACGCTTCAAAAAGTTTCAGATCGAAAAACGAACCCCTTATATGTTTTTTCTTAATTTTTCGAGAATGCCCTTTTCAGCGCATAGCAGGTTTTCAAAACATTAGAACAAAAGAACATTTTTAAATACTTGTCCAAATTATGTGAAATTTTTTGGGTTTCTTCTTTGTACCTTAAACTTGTCTGTAAACCTAAATGATTTGGAATTTATATGTCGCAATATTGAGTTATTAATGCAAAAATGGCAGAAAATATAGTAAAAATTATCGTTTTTTTACAAAAACTTCTACCAAACGCAGAATAATTTTTTTTTTCAATTTTTAAGGTTTAACGATAAATTACATATATATTTTTATAGGCTGTTACAGATCAATAATACGACGTCCAGAGTGATTGTCGTTCTTTTTGGAGGTCGACTACACGCCAGTGCACAGTCGCCACCCTATTTTCAAAAAAAAAGAAAAAAGAGTTTTTACATTCCTCATCTATATTTCAAAAAGTGTACAAAGTTTTATAATGATTGAATTATACCGTCTTTGTAAAAAAAATGTTTTTCAATGCGTAATTATTGAACGTGTACTTGTATCTACCCCCTTAAGGGAGATTACTAGAGTAGCACCACATCCAAATGGGTAAAAACTTTGTAAGTTTAGCATCATAAATTTTACATATAGTTTTCGCGACTCTGTAGCCCTCAGCTCGTTAATAGCGACTAACCACTTAACGAAGTTCGATTACTTCTTTCGTTTGCTTGACTTCGCTGTATGGAAGGTGTCGTTCTAAAAGGACACCTATGAGCATGTATTTTAGCTTACACTTACACTTGGGGGTTCAAATTGTCTGCCGAGGGCGATCATAATTAGAAAATTTAACTCAATTTTTTTATTTAAATTAATCTTCTATAACTTTTGGATGTTGGCTGCACGGGGTTTTTAGTCTGACCCTTCTGAATGGCAGTACACAATGCTAAACACTCGGCTGCCGCGGCTACCGATCGTTTTATCCTGCCCAGCAAGTCGAAAACGCTTTCGAAGAAGGGATTTTCCAGTATTTTGAAGAGCAACGCTTTACCTGACGTCCATTGCTATTAATGGACTAAAGCAATAATTTATAATAACAGATTCAATAAATAAATTTATTTGATGTGTTGAAAAAAAAATCTATAATTTTGGATTTTGGTCTATCAAAAGATTCCTACCTTCTGCATGGTAGTACGAACTTTCAGGTAATGGGTTATTGCGGCCGGCACATTTTATTTTACTACTTGAAAGCAGAGCTGCATCGTTTTGCTTGATAACACTTTGCCATTTTGAAAGTAACGTCATTATACCTCTCCCGAAGATACCCATGTTCTTATTGGCAAAAAATTAGGACAATCAATCGATTTTCACAGGTTTCTCTTGATTGCGATTCTCCACCAGTCAAATCATTCGCCATAGACAGGAACACATGGTAAGCACTTGGTGCGTGGTCCTTACCTCTGAGTTCCCGGAGCTTCTAACGAGTTACTATCAACTGATCCGAATTAAGAGTTTGGCCGTAGAGAAGCAGTTTATAGTGGATGATTCCTTGTTAATCCCGCCAAATACGCAGCAAAATATGCCTGGCCAAAAATCCCAACTTGGAGAGCGTTTGTGTTTCCTTTCATTTGACGCTGCTGTATATAATCTACTCTTCATCGCCAATCACCATTTAGAAATGGATCGAGTTTGTTACGATTCAACAGCGATTCGCAAGATGGAATTTCGAACTTCCATATGTATAAAATCTTTATTAAGTGGTTTGTTTTTTGTCGAAGCCGAAATTGTGCATGATCAATTGTTACAGTTTTAGGACCCTAAAGCGCTATACACATTTTCAGCAGCCTGACTTGCTTTAACGCCATTTACGAAGTACACTGGTGGAACTTAGCATCTCTTTGCTGGAGTCCATCTTCGACATGCGCTCAAACACTACCGAGTCAGGTGATCAAGATTTCTTTTACTACACGAATATTTATCACGTTGACTACTGTAGGAATAAACAGTCGTGTCTGAAAGCTTTTCTCCAGCGAGTGGCTAATATTCACCAAATAAAACTTTATGACTATTGCATAATGCTTTATTTGGTGTGTAAAGATTTGGCGAAAAATTCACGTTTGTTATTTGTCACCATGCCAAGCCATGAAATAAAACAATTTTGTAAATTTTATTTCACCAACTGGCAATTTATAATAAAATATTTGAAAAATCAAAAATATTAAATATATATGTACTCGTATGTATATACAAAAATATTTATTATCTAATTGTGCACATTGGGAAAATAATTATCATTTTGAAATTATGTAAACATAAGTATTTAAAACTATTCCCACTCATTTATTTACAACCATTTTGTGAATTTTGTAATTAAACACCCATCACTAAATACTAGTGACAACAATCATTATCATATGCATCGTGTTGACTCCAACCGAAAAAGAAATAACCCAAACCCAAACCGATGACAACTGAGAGACACAGCCAATAATTGTAATTCATAAATACCAACATTAGCAAGTAAGAGAGAGC